AGTCCTAAGCACCTTGCGATCTCCCCATTATTGCTATTCTGTTTGTTTGTTTTTCTTTATTCTTTTAGTTCAAAAGTTAAAGTTTCAACAACAGTTAATTAAAATGCAAAAGTCACCCCCTAACCACAAGTTTCTAAATGCTACTCCCACATATAGCTGTCAATAACTTGGGAGTATGACTTTTCAGAACTTTCTTTTGCGTATACAGAGCTACTGGGTTTAATTATCTGCCTCCATGCTTATGTAGTGGGGGAAAGGCAGATCCCAAGGAACCAGAACAATGGGAATGTCCATAACCACATTAAATTTTCCTAAAATCAGGACATGGTTCCATAGTGTAGTGGTTAGCATGTCTGCTTTACACGTATAAGGTCCTGGGTTCACGCCCCAGTAAAGCCACAGTCCATGGTCTATGGCCATGCCACCCTGAACAAGCCTGATGTCTGATCTTGGAAGATAAGCAGGGTTGGGCCTGGTTAGTACTTGAATGGGAGACCACCTAGGAAGACCAGGTGCTGGAGGCATAAAAATAATGACAATAAATAATAAAAAAAAAAAAAAAGAAAGAAGATTTTTCTAAAGTCAGGTTTGCTTCTGAAGTGACTACAAACACACAGCAAGCAAATTCACACTTTGGTGAAAATAAGCACCTTTGTCCACGGAGCTCTTTGGGATGTTTTGCTTAAACAAAGTCCATCAAACTTTCTTCAGACAAAAACACAAAATCAGCTTGAAAAAAAAAAAATTTTAACCTCAGCTAGCTGCATGAGTTATTTAACTGGAAGCAGAACCCACCCCTCACCCTGAAACTTGGACAAACAAATCTGAGTGACATTGGCCCTGCTAGAGGCTATAGTTTAAAGCATTTATTTTCACTCTGATATGACAACTTCCCACTGATCTTACAAAGAATTTGCACTACCTTTGAAATAGAATAGACAGAAGAATTATTTAATTTCTAACAGATCCCAAAATGAAATCTATAAAAAGTCAGACAGATTCATATAATAGTGAACCTGAATTATACTTGATTTGTCTATTTCATTTCCTAATTTCCGATTATTTCAATTCAGTGATTTTTTTACCTTTGTCTTGGAAGTGGAAGGGTTAGAAATTAAAGCTACCAATGTACTCCTAACTTTTCACTCTTAAAACTTCTCATTTAGAAAACTGTTTATTAGCCTGGAGTCCACTCAAGTGTCACTCACAGGGAGCCTGGACAGTAAAATGTGGTGCCGACACACTATTGAATATGCTAGAACAATTAGAAACATCCAACTAGTTCAGGGGTTCCCAAATGTTTTCACTTTCCGGCACCCTTTGAATCTTAACAATTTTCTTCACAGTATTCCTAGGCCAAAAGGAGTTTCTGTTTATTAAGTAGTTAGGTCCAAACACCTTAATATATATTTATGTCCTAATAACTTAGTAGTTGTATTAAAAAAATACATATTAATCGGAGAAGAAAATAATATTTCATTTCATTCTTAAATAACCGAATCACTTCCTAAGGGGGCGTGTGTGTCTGTCACGCACCGTGTAGCTTCTTAAATTTGGGGATTAGATTGGAGACTGCCATCCTTATTTTCTGTTTCACCCCGATTTTCCTGGAGTACTTCTTTCTCACCACAACTGCTGAAACCCACAGCTTGGCAAAATATGATGTTATATCATAGAAAGGAATGTAGCACAATCTAATGTTGGACTGTGAACTACCTCAAGTTAGCAGTTCATATGGCGCCTGACAGATGTTGAATATTGCTGTTTCCTTAAAAAAGTAAAAGTATCTCACAGCCCCCCCTGGGGGTTCTTTGCAGCTTCTCAGAGCACCTTGACACTCAGGTTGAGAATCACAGAATTAGATAAACATAGAACAATATGAACAAATTGTAAAAACAATACTAAATTAAAACACACACACACACACACACACACACACTTAAAACTAAGGCATATGGGGGATCCACGACGTCCGCTCTTGCTGAGGTTTCAAAGACCTTCCACCTCACTGCTGAACTGGGGACAGGTTTCCATGCATCATCTAACCCTGTTGAATGCCACCTCCTAGAAAGGTTCTTCCACTGGCTCCCCCCACACCCCTCTACGGTGGCCTCTTCCAGCAGCTTTGACCTGTCTGTCCTTTGCAGTTCTCTCTGGGGGTCTCCATCTGTCTCATTCTGAGTCCTTTCTGCACAGTCTAGCCCACTGCCACTGGGAGCTGATAACTCCCAAACATCGATTTTAGGCCAGACCTCTTTTCTGAGCTAGAGGCCACATGCCGACTGCCTGTTCAACATCTCCACTCAGATATCCCACAGGCACCACAAACCTGCCATGTCTTCACTAAACTCACCTCTGTCCCCATAAGCCTGCTTCTCCACCCATGTTCCCTAACTCGGAGAATAAAATCACCCCTCATCTGCTAGTGGCTGTGGTGGATTGAATTGGTGGCCCCAATTTTTCACCCTTCCCTGTACCATACCCTTGCCATGCATAATTTCATTCCCACCACTTGACTCTGAGCTGGCCATGAGACTCTGGCTAGTGGCAGAGAGGGGGAAGCGCCGTATGCCTGGTCCAAGCCTCGACCTTCAGAGGCCTCGCACGTTTGCCCTCACCTTCTTCTGCTCTTCTGCTTTTATGAGAGGAGCATGCCGGGAGTACTCTGCTGATCCCCGGAAGAGAAAGATGAGAGACACGTGTAGCAGAGCCACTCCGACCTATCCTCGCTTACTAGATCATCTCACCCCTGCTGACTTGGTGTGTGAGAGACAATAAAAGATGATCATTTTAGCCACCAAGTTTGGGGGAGTTTCATTATGTGTCAGTAGTTAACCAATAGGGTTACCTAAACCAGAAAACTGGGCATTACCTTTGATTCCTCCCTCTCTGTCCAGAGCTTCCTAAATACCTCTTGTGTCCATCTACTTCTCTCCATTCTCAGCACCTCTGACTTGCTCAGGCCTCATTCTCCATGTAGCATCTTAGGTGATTTTTCCTATCTAGTATGCAAATCCGATTACTGCGATTCCTCTTCTGTGGGTGGGCTTTGCCCTCAGGCTGGAGTTTCACTTAGGGCCTGGATAAGGGGAGGAGACTTACTGGAGACTGTCCAAGTAAAACATCCAAACCTGTAGAAAATGTTTATGAGTTTATTTGAGCCAAACTGACAACTTATGCTAGGGAACAAGATCTCAAATGCTCTGCCGCGTAACAGTTTTTCAGCTTCTTTCGTGCATTTGAAATTAAGGAGGAAATGTAAGGAAGATTACATGGAGGTGTGGGAAAGCAAGGTGGGGGTTGGATTACAGGACAGTTGATAAGATTATGTGTTCTCTGGAGGGTTAATACCCCCTTCAAGGGGTATTAACTTCTGCATTTCAAAGGTGTGCTAACTTAGATGCACAAGGACAATAGACAGGGCCGGCATAAAATCTTTCACTAAAGAAGTTACAACAGGCCTGGGGTTGACTATTCACCATGACCTGCCCTATTAGGAATTTATGATCAGATCATCCTGTGAGGTCACTTTCCATAGAATCCCTTTTTTCTTCCACAAGACTGTGGGTATCCCCATCACTGTGAAGAGACACCTCCAGTGCAGTTTCTGCTTTGTTCCCAAGTCAGTGCAATGTTTTTTATTTTTTATTTTTTTAATGGGTTCTGTGCAGGGAGCCTGGTTCAAGCTTGGAGCACGATTAGCAAAAGACCAGCTTCCAGCTAGGGCAGCACTTCCCAAGGGTTCCCCGCAACCACTCCACTACTGGGTGCCGTTTTTTAGGATATCAACAGGAAAGACAACGTGAGAGGCATTGACAACCTAGAATTAAGATGTCTGTCTTTGTTTCTTGCTAATGGATCTGATCATGGATGTGCAGTCTCCTTATGCAGATCAATGGCCTTTCAGACCTCTGTGAAAGGATGAGCCGCCAGAATGGGGTAGGCACCACAGCCCAAGAGAAAGATACCATGAATAAGACAAGGCCTCCCTGTGAGGCAGCTTGAGAAAGAGCCAGCAGCTTTGGCCTTCATGAGACATTTGTATATTGCCACCGGCCTTCTCACAAGGCTGCACAGCAAATTGTCTTGTTTAGTGTTTAAATGTGGATTCTGGAGTCAAACTTACTGGCTCTGGGCCCAGTTCTGCTACTGATCTTGGGACCTTGCACCTCGAGGAGATCAGGCCTCCAGGCAGTTTAGCAAGACAGAAATAGATAAGCAGGCCATTGCATCTGATGGGCCCTGAAGCGCTGGGAGAAGCAGCTCACCTAGGTGGGTGCTGGTAGGGCTTCCAGAAGTCATTTTTAGGGGTAAGAAGGATATAGCCAGGTGGATGAGAAGATAGAAAGGTGTCCTCAGCTCTAGGAAGAAAGAGAGTGGGCCTAACTTTGGTTCTCACTTCCCCTTCACCATGCCAGGCACGCATTAGATCGTCAACACCAGCCGAGGTCAGAACAGAAAGAACTCATCTGTGGGGGCATCAGGAGTTCTGGTTTTAAATACGGAGGTGGTGTGGCACAGGCTAGAGCTGGGGAACCACTCAAATTTGCTACTGGAGCCCAGTGCCTCCAGCCCCAGGGCACATTTTCCTGTGACCCCTGAGTCACCGCCATGAGTGGACAGCTGTTTCGCTTCCCAAGACACGGCCATGGTGGTCTCCAGGCCCAGGATCGCTGGAAAGACAGGCAGGGCCAAGCTGGCTTAAAGTGGAAACTTCTGGCCCATGGGTCCTCGGAGGGACACAGGACGCGTTAGGGCAAGGCCTCTGCAGAGAGCACATTTGGATGGGGCGGAGGAGAAGGGCGGGGATGGAGTTGGGTTGGTGGGAAGCAGGCTGCGCAAGGGGCACCGGTGTCTTTTAACAGCCGCGAAGCCCCAGGCCCGGGCCGGGCGCGCGTCCCCGCCCCCGTCGCCCGGCAGGCGGCGTCAGAGCACAAGCCAGCCTGTGACTCGGGTCAGGAGTCCGGCCGGGCGGGGCGAGGGGCGGGCTCCTGCGTCTCTGGGCGTCGGAGCGCGGCGACAGTCACGCCGCGGGAAGGACTGAAGAGCGCGCCCACAGACACAGACCCTCTGCGGCCATGGCCGATCCCGCCGCTCGCTGCTGCTGCCTGGGCTGGGACTTCAGCACGCAGCAGGTACTGTCGCGGCCCCGGGTCCGGGCGGGTAGGTGCCGCCGCTTCCTCTGCGACGTCGGGCGGGCTTGCAGGGACCTGGGTGCGGGGACGGCTGGGCCGAGCCTCGGGCGCAACTGCGTCTCGGACTTCTCGAAGACCCGCCAGCCCTCTGGCACCACGGCTAGCCAGTGCCTCGCGCTCGTAAGGTGCGTGCGCGACCCCGCCCGGACCCTGCGCTCCCGGAAACGGCGGCCCCCAGCCCTCCCCCCACCCTCCCGCCGCGGGATCCTGTCGGCACCTGGCTGAGAAGTGCGCAGAGCAGCCAGGGCACCCGGCGGGCTCGCGCGCCGTCGGAGCCACAGAGTGACAGGGACCCGAGGGAACCCAGCTACTGTGAGACGGGGGAACAGAAGTGTGCACACGGGAATGACCAGTGACCTGGAACCAGATCACGGCTCGAAACTTTTTTTTAAGTGAAATGGTCCCAGAGTACACGTGAACTTTGTTCCACTCTTGGTTGGCACCAGCGTGCCTGGGTTAAGGTGCCCGGCGCCACTGGCCAGAGGCCCTGCTGCTCCCAGGACCCTGCAGACAGGCGAGCAGTCAAAATTTGCCTTCAAACAGGGCATGGGGTGCCAGTGGGCTCCTTAACTTGGGAAATCACCACATTTGGTGTCAAAACCCTCTTTTCAAATGGGTCAGGGAGGCAGGCCTCTGCTAATCCCTGACCAGAAGGTCCTGTGGGGGGTCCTAGGGAAGTCAGGTCGCCTTGCTAGACCTCAGTTTCCCCATCCGTCCAGGAAAGGAATTGTACCCCTGAGTCTGGAGATCTGCTGCGTTGAAACACTATGTGCTTCTGGACCATGACCATGGCCTATGGCACCTTGCCTGGTCTCTCAGATCCCTGCAGATGTGGACCCTCAGTGAGATCTCCAAACCTTGCCTGCCATTCCTTCCCCTCTAGGACCTTCTCAGGCCTCCTTGCCAGGCACAGGAAACAGCTCATCTTTGAACATCTATCTCTGGGGCCTTGGTTTTGGCTGTTTGTGGGCAGAAATTCCTTGAGCTACATAGGTGTTTGAACTTAGCCTCAGCTTCTTCATTTTATTAAATCTTTGGGTATGTCCCCAGATGAGGCTTTGTTGCCATAGCTATGATGATGCACCTCAGCCTTCCAGGAGGTCTTCAGGCTGAACCACACATCTGGGCTTTACCCGGTGATGTTCGTACCCCTGGACCAGTGTGGAAGCCGAGGAAAAGTCCATACACCACTTTTTACAATGCCTTCCAGGTGAAAGTTGTTGCTGTTGATGCAGAGCTGAATGTCTTCTATGAGGACAGTGTGCATTTTGACACAGACCTTCCAGAATTTGGGTATGTACCTAGTGTACATGTGGGGGAGTTGTTTTTGGGATCTACACTCACCTTTTTACATTCATAAATACACTATTCTGGCTCCATCAAACTGCAGGAGTGGTGGTCTTGATAAAACTCTCAGCACCTTTTTATCTATGCTCTCTCCTTCATTCTTTTCCAATTTCTTTCATTCATTCATTCATTCATTCATTCATGTGTCAGATGAAAGTAGGTATCAATTGAGACTTACTTTTCTTCAGGCACTGTGCTAGGTGCTGAAATTTGATGATGTTCTTCAAAAAGAACATCATCCTTGCTCTTCCAGAGCTTCCCTTTGAGTGGGAGAGACTGCTATCTGAATCAAAGATTCTCACAAAAGAATATTTGGGTATAAACTCAGAGGCCATTGAAGGAAAGGAACTCACTTCTCCAAATGCTTATTATCAAGGAATGTGACCTAGACCTGGAAGGGGGAGTCAAGGAAAGTCCCTAAGGAAATAGTAGTCAGCCAAAGTCAGAGTCAGTGGGGTTAGCCAGGAGGTGATGGACGGGAGAGAACATTCCAGGCAGAAAGGACAGCATGTGCAAAGGCCCTGTGGCAAGAAAGAGCACTGCTTACTCATGGAATTGAAGACAGCCAGTTTGGCTGGGGAGCAGAGTGGGAGGTAGAGGATGGGCTGAGTCATATGGGCCATGTCAGTGAGTTTGTCTTTATCCTAAAAGCTATGGTCAGCCACTGAAGGGCCATAGGGATGGGAGTTAGATGTGACATGGTAATGTTTGTGTTTTAAAAAGATCTCTCTGGGTGAAGTGGGAGAGGTGGGGGTGGCCACAGTGCATGTTGGGAGACCATTGAGGTTTTTCAAGATCATCTGGATGAGAAATGATGGTGGTTTGGAGGAGAGAGAGCTGGGTGGTCAAACTGACAGGTCATGGTGCAGAATTGAATGTGAGATGTGAAGGTGGAGTTTATAGCTGGCCTTTGGGTTGGATGGTAGACTGTGGAAGAGAATTAGTTTTGGGGAGAAAGATCATGTGTTTAGCTGTTGTATTAGTTTGGTAGGGCTGCCAGAACAAAATACCACAGGCTGGGTGGTTTAAACAACAGAACTTTATTATCTTAAAATTATGGAGGCTGGAAGTCCAAGATCAAGGTGCTGGCATGGGCATTTTCCTCTGAGGCTTTTCTCTGTGGTTTGCAGATGGCTGCCTTCCTGCTGCCTCTCATATGGTCATCCCTCTGTGCACACGCACCCCTGGTGTCTTTCAGTTGTGTTATTCAGTATCCTAGTCCCCTTTTATAAGGACACCAGTCATACTGCATTAGGGTCTACCCCAGTGACCTCATTGTAAGTTAATTAGCTTTCTAAAGGCCCTATCTCCAGATATAGTAACATTCTGAGGTAAGGGGGGTTAAGACTTCAACACAAGTCAGTCTGTACAGCTGTGGACTAAACTGATTTTGAGATGGCTCTGAGAGGTCTTGGTGGACGCATGCCTCCACGTATGCTTTATATGTCACTTCCTCTTTGAAGCCTTCCCTCTGGCCTTTGTGCACTGCTCCCAGCTCTCATGTTGTATTGCTGTCTTTCCCCCACAGCTGATGGACCTCCTCTGAGCTGAGGTTGGAGGCCATCTAGTTTTCATATTTTATGTTACTACTGGCCACATATGTGGTAGTTTGGTAGTTTGTGTCTTTCAAGGAATTGGTCCATTGAGTTTTGGTAGTTTGTGTTTTTCAAGGAATTGGTCCATTTCATCTAAGTGTTCAAATTTAATGGCCATAGAGATGTTCGTAATACTCCTTAATTTCCCTTTGTGTATGGGATCAGTGGTGGTGACTTCTTTCATTTTGATATTGGCAATTTGTGTCCTCTCTTTTTTTCTTGGTTAGCCTGGCTAGAGGTTTATCAATTTTATTGATCTTTCGAAGAGCCAGCTTTCATTTTCTTTGATTTTCTCTACAGTTTTCCTCCATTCATTTTCATTGACTCGAGCTCTAATTTTTATTATTTCTTTTCTTTTGCTTACTTTAAGCTTAAATTGCCTGTCTTTCTCTAGTTTCCTGATATAGAATCTTAGATTCTTGAGTTTAGCTCTTTTTTAAAATATGTATTTTAATGCTATAAATTTTCCTATAAGCATTGCTTTTGCTGCATCCACAAATTTAGATCAGTTATATTTTCATTTTTATTTAGTTTAAAATATTTTTTAGTTTCTCTTGAGACTTCTTTGACTCATGTTATCTAGAAGTGTGTTGTTTAATCTTGAAATCTTCCAGCCATCTTTCTATTGTTGATTTCTAGTTTAATTTGAGTATGATCTGAGAACATATGTTATATATGTTCTTTTAAATTTTTAAATTCTCTCTCCCTTACTCTCTTTCATTCAAGGAGTCATTTCTCTTTATTAGACATCTTTAGGAGGAAAAAAAAAACCCAACAACAGTATCCATAACCAGAATACAGTATTGCCTTTTTATGCAAAGTTACATTTTTAAAATTTTTTAAACCAGATACATATATATCTAGGTCATTCTTCTCTCACACTTAGATCACTTTCTGGTTTGGAGTCTTTTTTTTTTTTTTTACAATTTTATTGAGGTATAATTGATGTATAATAAACTGCACATATATAAAGTTTACAGCTTGATAATTTTTGAGATAAGTGTTTCTCCATAAAACTGTCATCAAAATCAAGATAATGGACATTTCTATGTCTCAAAAATTTTCTAATGCACCTTTGCAATTCATCCCTCTTCCCCACTCCCAACCCCTGGAAGCCACTGGTATGTTTTCTTATCACTATAGATTAGTTTATACTTTCTAGAATTATATGTAAAGGGAATCATAATTAAATACTTTTTATCTGACTTTAACTCAGTGTAATCATTTTGAGATTCATCCAGGTCATTACTTTTGAGATTCATCCAGGTCGTTAGAACAGTTTGTTCCTTTTATTGCTCAGCAGTATTCCATTGTATAAATGGATCACAATTGGTTTATCTTCTTCACCTGATAAGAGACATTTAGGTTGTTTCCAGTTTTTTGTTATAAATAAAGAGACTATGAAAATCACATACAAGTCTTGGTGTCAACATAAGCTTTCATTTCTCTTGGAAATGAAAAACCCAGGAATTGCTAAGTCATATGGGAGATGTATGTTTAACTTTTTAAGAAATTGCCAAACTCTTTTCCAAAGTGGTTATTTTAATAAAACTATTTTGTTAATAAGCATTGCATTTACTTGGTACATCATTCAAAAGAAACAAAAGGCAGACAGTGAAATGTCTTAAGCTCTCTGTGTTCTCATCTCTTCTCTCCTGCCCTCTCTGACAGATAACTTCTTTAGTTAGTTTTCTGTATATCTTTCTAGTGTTTTATATTGAAAGATAAGCAGATATGAATGTTCTTATTTTCTCCCTTTGTTACCCACAAAAGCATACTGTACCTACCATTCTATACTTTGCTTTATTCATTTCATAATAACTCGGCTGTGTTTCTATGTCAGTACATAGAGCTTCTGTGTTCTTTTTATAGATGCATAATATTCCTTTGTGTAGATTTACCATCTCCTTTTTAAGGACATTGAGTTGTTTGCAATGAAAAATGATGTAGTGAATTACCTTACATCTACCATTACGCCAGTTTATCTGTAAGATAAAATTTCAGAAATAGGATTGCTGGATCAAAGAGCAGATAGATTTATAACTTTGAAAAATGTGGCCAAATTGCCTCCCATAGGGATCGTATTGATTTATATCCCACCAACAATACTTGAGACTGCCCGTTTCCCACTGCACTGCCCATTCATTTAGTGTGGTCATAAAAGAGGTGTTGGTTCTTGGATAATCAGAGAGTTGAAAATGATATCTCTATGTAGATTTACCTTTCATTTCTCTTATTAAATGAATGAAGTTGAGCATCTCTTCATATGTTAAAGGGCTACTTGAACATTTTTTTTTTTCTGTGAAGTAGTTATTTCTCATGTCCTTTGCCCGTTTTTCTGTTTGATTGGTTGTCTATTTCTTATCAATTTCTTAACATATTTCTTCATATGTTAGATTTTTATTTGCTTTGATCTGTGTTTGGGTCGTTGCTGTCGTTGCCATACATGGGTTTTTGTTTTTATGCCATCGAATTTCTCAGTCTCTTTTTCTATTGCTTCTAGATCTTAAGTCATACTTTAAAAAAGGCCTTCCTTACTCCAAGATTATGAAGGAATTCACCTATGTTTTCATCCAGTTCTTACCAAATTTCGGTTTGGGGGTTTATTTAGGTACATGGCCACTTTAATTTTTCCCAGATAACTCTTCACTTGTTTTAACAGAATTGTTTTAGAATCCATCTTTACCTCACTAATTTGAGACACCAACTTTATCATATGCTAAATTTCTGTGTATGTTTAGGTCTATTTCTGGGCATTTTCTCTTGCTCCATTGGTTGGTAGGTCTGAGCCAGTAATACATCATTTTAATCCAGCTTTATAATATGATTTAATATCTGGACTCGTTGGTCCCCTCTGATTGTTCTTTTTCAGTTTTGATGGCTATTCTTTCTTGTTCTTTATCAATATGTACTTTAGAATTAGCATTTAATGTTTCAGAAAGCAAATTATTATTTTTATTGAGATCATATTATATTTATAAATTAACTTGGAAAAAATTGACAAGAGATTGAGTCTTCCTGTCTAGGCCTATGCTGTGTCTTTCCATTTGTTCACATCTTCTTTGAGTACTTCATGTGTGTCTTAATGTGTTTGACATATGGATTTTGCCCATTATTGTGTATTGCAAAAAGTGACCATAATTCCCCGCCCCTCCCTGTACTCATGCACTTTGCAGTGTGGCTTTGCAGCTCCTTCCCTTAAGAGATGGTATCATTTCCCAACCTGTTGATTTTAACCAATGGAATGTGGGAGAAGGAACATTCTGTTAATTCTAGACCTAGGTCTCAAGAAGCCTTACATGCTTCTGCTCTCATTCTTGGAATCCTGTCCAGCCCCCAGCTCAGGCAAGCCGGCTGGAGAATGAGAAACATGTGGCCTAATTGCCCCCACATCCCCGACTAAGAAAAGCAGAAGCCAGCCCCAGAAGCAGTGCCCTCTCGCTATAGTTAGCTGACCACAGATGCATGAGTGAGCCCAGCTGAGACGAGAAGAACCACCCAACTGAGCCTAGCCCAGTGATGGACCACCAGAATGGTGTACTGACTAGTTTCAGGCCACTGTCTGGAAGTGGTTAGTAATGACGCAAAAACCACCTGGTGCATGTAGTTATTTTTAATCGTATTTCTTACTGTTTTATTATTTTGCACAAGGGTCTCATAGGGGTGAGGAGAGTAGGTGACCTTCAAGGGCTTGCAATCTAAGGACTCCCTGTTCTGATAGCCAAGAACTTTTCCCACAGATGCAGTACCTCCTGTAGCCACACCTCCTCCGCCTCTCCAAACCTAAGGGATTTGGAAGGGCTTCCCATCCAACTCCGTACTTCCCCAGTCCCTTCGTGGCCGCTGCACGAAGTGACACCATGCTTGCCTTCCTGGATGAAGTTCTCAGATTTAGGTGGCTTGTTTTTGCTGGTGCTTTTTGAAAATTGCTACCTCTGGGCACTTTCCATGCCTTCTCTTTCCATCTCACTCAGCACTCATGCCTGTTCAATCCAGAGTTTCACTCGAGGTGGGGGGAGGGTGTTTCTCCTTCCACCGGAAGTATCTAAGATCTGCCACCATTGGGGCCCTGCCTGAGCTCTGTCTCACGTTCTCTCGCTCTCCTTCTAGGACTCAGGGTGGAGTTCATGTTCACGAGGGTGGTCTGGCAGTGACTTCTCCAGTCCTGATGTGGGTCCAGGTAAGCACGGGATTTTTGTTCCTCTCCTGTCCCCAGCTCATCTCACCAGCAGACCTAGCGATTTGCTGGGAAGCCCAAAAGTAGCAGCTCATGAGAGCACCTGTTGAGACCAGGGTCTTGTGGGGGAATAGAGTCTGCATGGTTCCCAGGGCCAGCCTCAGCCTCAGCTGGTGTCAGTACTCCTGAGCCGAGCACTCACAAAGGGCTTCAGGTTCTGGAGCCATAGCAGCTGGCAAGCCCTGCCAGTCACCATCTTTAAAATACCACAGAACAG